ACTCCAGTCAGAGTGGCAATTATCAAGAATACAAGTTAACAATAAATGTTGGAAAGGATGCAAAAAAAGGGTACACGCATTCATTGTTGGTGGGACTGCAAATTGGTGCAACTATTCCAGAAAGCAGTATAACGGTTCCCCAAAAATTTAGAAATGGAAGCATCATTTGACCCTGTTATCCCACTCTTTGGAATATATCCAAAGGATTTAAAATTAGCATACTATAGTGACACAGTCACATCAATGTTTATGGCAGCACAATTCACAATAGCTAAGCTGTGGAGCCTACCTAGGTGCCCTTTAACTGATGAATGGATAAAGAAAATGTGGTATGTATACACATGGAGGAGCCATTAAGAAGAATAACTTTATGGCATGTGCCAGTAAATGGATGAGTCTGGAGACCATCATGCTAAGTGAAATAAGCCCATCTCTAAAAGCCAAAGGTTGAATGGTTTCTCTGATATGAAGAAACTATCAAAAATAAGGGGGGAAGTTAAGAAAGAAAGAAAGAGAGAGAGAGAGAGAGAGAGAGAGAGAGAGAGAGAACAGAAGAAAGATTAGTGGAGTACACAAAGGCAAGTGAAGGAAAAGGAGGAGGGATGGGAACAAGAAAGACAGTGGAATTAATTCTATATAATATATATATATACACACCACAGTGAATCTCACTACTATGTACATCAACAGGACACTAATTTAAAAAAATAATAACTCTAAGTGAACAGCAGAAAAAACAGTAGAGTAGAGGGATGAGAACAGGGGAAAGGATATTGGAAAGGATGTGGGGAAAAGGGTACATGCATTCATTGTTGGTGGGACTTCAAATTGGTGCAACTATTCCAGAAAGGAGAGGGGAGGGGAAGTACCAGGGACTCAATTAGAACAAATCATATTTTATGCTTTCGTAATTATGTCAAAATAAATACTGTTGCCATGTGTAACTAAAAAGAAACAAACAAACAAAAATAAAGTACATAGTGAAGGTTTAAAAAAATATTCAGTATCTTTACTAATTGCAAAAACCAAAAAAAAGAAAAGAAAGAAAAAATGGGAAACAGCCACATCTCATTTAGACTCTGGTGCACCAAAATTCAGCCAATTCCTTTATACTCACACTTGAAACTCTTCATAAGAAACCCCACTGGAGATGCTTCCCCTCCTTCTGGAGCTGTGTCCACTGTCTTCGTCGTCATCCTCCTCAGAGTCATCCAGGCTTCTTGGGAAACTGCGGCTGCTCATGGGACGCGGCAAAGAGCTATGGTCCAAGTCCAGGTCCTCCTGCAGGACAAGGGGTCGCCCAGTGAAGAGAGGCACCAAGACCTCACACAGAATTTAGCAAGGTCTTGGGCAAGTAGGAAATGGGTGTCAGCCAGACCAGGATGGCCACATTTTTCTATATTGTGGAATGCACACATTTTCAGACAGATTTTAACTATTAACGAGGAGTTGCTAAGCTTTTGTTTGGACAAGAAAGAACATCAAAAACATAAGAAAGAAAAAAAGTAAATAAAAGAATACCCTTATCACCTTCTTTTCATAAAAGAACAAATTCAATAACTCTAAAGCAGGAAGGATATAATCTCAGATTTTTGACTAAATACTGAGGCAAGAAAATTTCATTTATTGTCTTTGTGCTTACATTTCACAATGAATGTTGAAGTTTGTAACCTTTGGACAAACTTGTCTGGAGCACTGTTTAGTAACAATTATTCTAGACTTTTCCTTGGAGGAAAGTGGCTTTGTATTTAGCATTTCATCTGTGTTCTCTATACCTTAATTTCTTCTTGTTGTTGTTGTTAAAACATTTATATTTGAAAGTTAATGGTAAAACTGTTAATTCTTCTTAAGTTACATAAGCTCACTTACAATTTTATTTGATTATTATTTATTACTTGTTACTTGAGATGGGTTCTATGTTGCCCAGGCTGGTCTCCAACACTTGGATTCAAAGTACCCTCCACATCAGTCTCCTGAGTAGCTGGGATTATGTGGGTACCACCATGCCCAACAGTTAATTTTACTTTCTATTACTCTGTAGTAAATATTCAAATGAAAGACACATGATAATTTTATTTTGCTATAAAAGTTAATAATTTAAAGAGCAACTAATTAACCAGAGAAATTTTTATCTTCTGGTAACTTTTTTTTTTCCTCACTCTCTTGGACATAAAGAACTATTCAAGTAATCAAGCTCCTCTTTCAAGTTGACTACCAGAAAGCTTAGGGCCCAAAAGGCCAAGACCATTTTCCAATGTTTATAAGCATATGCCTAGTTATACAATATAGTTTTTATTAGCTTTATCCATAATGTAATTTTGCACCCTTGTTTCTAGTTTTCTGGCATTCATCTATTTTATTGCACCTTATATATTACTGTTTATATACTCCTTTGGGGATAAACAGAGCACTAATACATATGTTGAGAGAGAGAGAGAGAAAGACAGATTCCCAGTCACCCACCACTTAGTGCAGTGTTTGACTGGTGGTGGGTGCTGAAACAGATCATGGTCTCTTAACCTAGACCCACCCTCTCTTTTTCCAAGTCATCTCTCATCTGCTGATGTTCATGTTCAGTGAGCTCCTGGTCTCCATCTTGGTCATACTTGGTGAATATTGCTTCAATCTCTGCATCAGTATGGCCCTTCCTGAAATTGAGAGGATACAGATGAATTCATTCTTATACATGGTCCAACCCCAACACCAAAAAATCAAAATGCAAGAGGAAAGAGAAATCACCAAATGGAGGCCTAGCCTCTTCTCAGAGCATATTCCAGAAAGACAGCTGCCTATGAAATAACTGTGCTTCTCTATGAGAATTTGGGCCATAAACATTCTTGCCAAGAATTGATTTTTAGCAGCAGGAACTTCCTAGTGACCCAGGATGTGTCACTCTTACCCTTTGAGATCTTGTCGAAGTTCGTCAAAGTTTAACTTGCCTCCTCCTTGCCGCAGACTCTCTGAAATGTCATCCACAGTATTTTTTTTCAGTTTTAGTTTGACCAAAGCTTTATGGTATCCCTATTGGGGAAACAAAGCAGAACATCTGTTTAGTTTTTTGCTGCTTTTGCATTTGCTTTAACTCTCATTTGTAGCATCAACAAACATAAACCATTGCTTGGTGGAACTTGGTCACTGAAGTGTGTGCTAAATGAATGGATAATGAATGAATAATATGAAAGTCCTGTAGAAGACATACAGAAAAGGTAAGAAGTTTTCAATAAACCAAGGACTGAGGTCCTTTCCTTCACATGTGTTTTTGGATTGGTTGACAAATAAAAATCACTACATATTCTATAGCTATCAGCTCCCAAATATATAGGTATATGCAACAGTTCTTAAAGAAACAATCTGTGAGGTGAATAGAGAACATACCTCTTGGGAGCAAATCTTTACTCCTTACGCATTAGATAGAGCACTAATCTCTAGGGTATATAAAGAACTCAAAAAGCTAAACACCAAAAAAACAAAAAACCCAATCAATAAATGGGCCAAGGACCTGAACAGACACTTCTCAGAAGATGATATATATACAATCAATCAACAAATATATGAAAAAATATTCATCATTGCTAGCAATTAGAGAAATGCAAATCAAAACCACTCTAAGATTTCATCTCACTCCAGTCAGAATGACAGCTATTATGAAGACAAACAACAATAAATATTGGGGAGGATGTGGGGGGAAAAGGTATACTCATACACTGGTGGTCAGCCTGCAAATTGGTGCAGCCAATATGGAAAGCAGTATGGAGACTTCTTGGAAAAGTGGGAATAGAACCACCATTTGACCCAGCTACCCCTCTCCTTGGTCTATACCCAAAGGACTTCAAAACAGCATACTACAGGGACACAGCCACATCAATGTATACAGCAGCACAATTCACAATAGCTAAATTGTGGAATCAACCTAGATGCCCTTCAGTAGATGAATGGATAAAAAAATGTGGCATATATACACAATGGAATATTACTCAGCAATAAAAGAGAATAAAGTCATGGCATTTGCAGGTAAATGGATAGAGTTAGAGAAGATAATGCTAAGTGAAGTTAGTCAATCCCCCCAAAAACATATGCCAAATATTTTCTCTTATAAAGAAGGCTGATTGATAGTGGGGTAGGGAGAAGGAGCATGGGAGGAATAGATGAACTTTAGATAGGGCAGAAAGGTTGGAGGGGAATGGAGGGGGCATGTGGTTAGAAATGATGGTGAAATGTGACTGTCATTATTATCCAAACTACATGTATGAAGACAGGAATTGGTGTGAGTATACTTTGTATACAACCAGAGATATGAAAAATTGTGCTCTATATGTGTAATAAGAATTGAAATGTTGTGGCTGGCTCAAGCGGTAGCAAGCTCGCCTGACATGCATGCGGCCCGGGTTCGATCCTCAGCACCACATACAAACAAAGATGTTGTGTCTGCCGAAAACTAAAAAATAAATATTAAAATTCTATCTCGTTCTAAAAAAAAAAAAAAAGGATTGAAATGTATTCTGCTGTTATATATAAATTTAAAAATTAATTAAAAAAATAATACCAAGAAATCTGAGTCATGGATTAATTATCTTTTCCTTGTCTCACAGTAAGTAATTTCTTTATATATATTAGATATACAAAAAAAAAATCCCAGTGAAATATGGATGAGGATTTTTCACTAATATATAGAGTTGAGGCTAGGGTGTAGTGAATGGTAGCATGCTGGCCTAGCATGCCCCAGGTTGATCCTCAACACCAAAGAGACAAACACACAAACAATAAATTATAGTCAGAGGTTGCTTTGCTTGGTAATGCAGGTCTGTAAAAGTGACCCTGAAGACTGAAATTGTGAAAAGTGAACCAAATAATTAACAGCAGGAATTTTAATTGTTCCGAGAACTTTAAGACATTTTGATGAAACATTCAAACTCTCTTAGTGTCAGCTATAAATTCATTAAAAAATAGAATATTAGTGCATTGAAATTTATTTAAAACACTAGAAATACTGAAAAGTAAATTGTTATAATTCTTTGTAAAAAAAAAAAAAAGATTCAGGGCAGTTTAAACTGTGCTTGTCCTCACCTTCTCATATATTTTATAATATTATCCCCTACAATGTGAACTGAATGTGTTTTCTGTACATCAGTGGATTGTCATATTGCTTTCTAATTATGGATCACCTTCTGACAATGTTCTTTGTCCTTTCACTATTATGAAATATCTCTACAAACTCTTCTTTTTACTTGAAGATTTCTGCTGGCATCCCCTCCTCCAAGACAGCTTCATTCTTTTCTTATTGATGTTGAAAAACTGTTCTTCTGGGTGTCCACCTGGGTCTCTCCAGTGTTGGCAGTGTCAACATTCCCGTGCTCAGCTACTTCTTGGAAAACCATGGCATTTGTTTAGATTTCACTTTCAGGTTTGTGTATTTCCTTTCTTTCCTGCGTTTCATCTTTCTGGCCTATTCATTTTTTTCTATTATCATGTCTGTAAATGTCGCATAGATTCATCACCGAGGACAAGAAAGCAACACTACACACTTTGTCACTGCATGAACCCAACAGCAGATTTCCAGTGACCAATCAGCAGCAGACAGAAAGCAGTGTCACCAAAGGTCCCCAAGCATGAGGAACATCTGCTATTTAGGAATTAATGTGGGGATTAAAGAGCCAGCAGTGGAGTTCATACTTTGTGCTCTTACTCACTGTTAATGAGCAGTGATAATGCAAACTTGAACCAGATTTTTAAGGATTTGGTGTTATGTAACAAAAGTGTAGTACCTGAACATTGTGTGTTATCAAAACTGTACACAATGTGGAGAGTTTCTGTACATGATGGAGGTATGCTAAAATGTAGGCAACCATGATGCTAAATTTAAGATAACAAGGATTTTAGGTTTCATGTAAGGAACTTGTAAGAAGCTGGAATTTTCCCTTACACCATGATCCACAGTTAATATGGTCCCAGGGCTTGACCCAACAGAAAACAGGGTCAAGGAGCCCTTGTATTTACCAGCATGATGTTGGACAACACGCTTTTATACTACAAAAGTCTTTGTTATTGTGAAACTTTATTTTCCACCAAATAAAGAAGTCACCTGTAGAAGAATGAAGCTGCCCCACTCCTTGTCCTGCCCTCTCTTCAACATCTAACCCTGCCTG